CTCAAAATATATAAATAATATACATAGTTTATATATATATAAATACATTATATATATGTGTGTGTGTATAATATGTGTATTATATATATAACTATGTATATTATTTATATATTTTGATATATATATATATATATTTATAATATTTTATATATATATAATTTATACATTATTTTTATAGACACACACACACACACATACATATTGCACTCTCTCTCTGTCACTGTATACATTATATATAAAAGATAAAGGTTTCCCCTTGACATGAATGTCTAGCTGCTAATTAATGAAAATCCTTTATGATTTCCCCCCTCCTTTAGACATCTTATTTGCCAATCCTAAACCAGGTTAGGTCATAAATGTATATATGTGTATATGTTTTTCCCAACCTGGGTTTAGGATTGGCAAATAAGATGTCTCAAAGGGGAAAAATCCAAAAGGAAAATATAGGTTTATAAATGATTATTTTTTAAAAAAAAACACCCTATAAATTATCTCGAGTTGAATCTACCCAAGGTTTGCATCCCAATAGGAAGATGTTCTTTTGACAAATGCTACTAGGAGTTGGAGAGATGGCTAGGAAGGATGAAGGATGATCGTCCAGAGCAAGAGCGCCCTCTGCTGGAGCCCTTCCTGGAGTGAGAAATCTGAAAAGGGTTGACACTGTTTTAAGACAGAATGATAGTGCTTTCATCCCAGTTTAACTGCCACTCTATTTGTGGCAGTTGTACTCTATGGACCTCTGGGATTTGTAGTTTTGTAATGCACATAAAACTCTCTGGAAGATGGAAGATGGACTATAATTTATATATAATAACTGCTAGCAGGCTCTCATTTGCAAAGCAATGGTGATGCCCAGAAATCTCTACATTAGACGATTGCATCAATAAAACTTTGGACATGTTGGAAATAGACAGACTTACAACTTTACTAAAAGACAAAATAACTGCAGAAGAGAATGAAGACTGGGAACTTGTGATGAAGAAAAATGGGCTAAATAAAGAACTAAAGAAAAAACTAGTCTGAAAAGAAAAGCTAATTTATAACCTGCAAATTGGGAAATAAATAAGAAGTTAGTGCAGGAGGTGAAGACATCAAGAATAAGAATAACAACAAATTAGTATTATATTGTTACTAGTATGGAGGTTTAACAATCATGTCAGGAGACTAGGAAATATAAGATATAAGATAAATAAGAGTTTGTACTCTATGGAAAAATGGTAAAGATAACATTTAACAGCACACGTTGTATATAAGATGGCATTACAATAATTTTAGAGGAAGAATATATGTTTAAATACTGTTTAATAAAAGGATGTTAACAATTATATACTAAAGAAGCCTTAGGATGGAAGAGAGATAAGGATATAACAGTAAAAAATATTGTAGCAATTGATAATGTAATCGATAATAATAATAATAATGGAATAGATATCTATAATAAGATATGTTTGAAATGTTCTTGAGAAAACCAATAAAAATATTTTTAAAAAAAACTCCCTGGAAGAGAATTCTAACTATCCCTATGAGACTACAAATCCCAGGGTCCCATAGGATGGAGCCACCGCAAATAAAGCAGTAGCAGCTCCATCCTAGGCAATTTGGGGTTTTGTAGTTTTACAAGGTTTTATAGCCTTCTCTGCCAAAGAGTGCTGGTGTCCCACAAAACTACAAATCTCAGGTTTCCATAGGATGGGAATATGGCACTTACAGTGGTGTCCAAGTGCATTATTTCTAGATGCACTGTTGGATGGAGTTTGCAAAGTGCGTTTCCGAGACATCTTCTGATCCAGGGAATTTTTTGGGAGGGACAATGCCTTGGCTCTCCAGTCAATGCCACCATCTGTCCTGCCCTGAGTCCTTGTTTGAAAGACAAGATGGTGGTTTCATCTGTTGCTTGGGAATCCCAATAATAATAATAATAATAATAATAATAATAATAATAATAATAATATAGTTTATTTATATTTTCCCACCTCTCCCTACGGATCGAGGTGAGAGTACAACAGTAAAACGTACAACAATGTACAAAGACACAATATATAAAAACATAACAAGAATAAAATCAACAAACCATACTATAAAAACAGTGCAAAATCTAATGCATTAGATGCCCTAGATCAGGAGTTGGCAACTTTTTTTGCCGACGGGCCAGGAGGGGGGGGATGGTGCTGGGGGCCAGCGCGTGTGCGCATGTGCATTTCCCCCCCGCACATGTGCGTGGGACGCCATTTTGAAAAACAAAATGGTGGCAGCGGCGCCCCTCAGCATCGCATGCGCACACGCACAATAGTGGATGCCCCCCAGGAGGGCTCCCTCGGCCGTGCCGGGCCTCCTCCAGGGTGCCATTTTGGATTCCAAAATGGCACCCTGGAGTCTCGTGTGACCTTTCCCGTGACAGGAAAGGTTGTGCGAGACTCTGAACGCTATTTTGGAATCCAAAATGGCACCCTGGAGGACCCCGCAGCCACAAAAGTTGGCGGCGGTGCAGCGGCAGCGGCGGTGGCAGCAGGACTGGGCAGCGGCCGGTCTGAAGGCCTCCGCGGACCTCACCCGGCCCACGGGCCTTAGGTTGCCAACCCCTACCCTAGATAATGAAACATTTATACTTTCTCCCTTGAGCCCTGTCCTAATTCTCTGGCTTCTTATATAGAAATTTCCCAGGATTCCCCCTTCCTCCCTAAAGATGAAGGAAAGGAGTCTCTGTGTGCCTATGCCTTCAAGTCACCTGTCAATTTATGGTGACCCTATGAATTTCATAGGTTTTTTTGTAGGCAAGGAAGACTCAGGAGACATTCGTGCCACTTCCTTCCTCTGAACTGTAGCCTACAGATGCTGATATTCATTGGCAGACTCCCATCCAAGTACTAACCATGGGTGACCCTGCTTAGCTTCCAAGATCAGATGCCTTTAGGGTATTTCGCCTCGTGTGCGTAAGGCTCCTGTTGATTTATGGAGACCCCATGAATTTCATAGAGTTTTTGCAGGCAAGGAAAACTCAAAAGAGTTTTTTCCACTTCCTTCCTCTGAATTGTGTCCTAGAGCACCTGGTGTTTGTTGGCAGACTCCCATCCAAGTACTAACCATGGCTGACCCTGCTTAGCTTCCACAATCAGATGGGATCCACTGCAATTTATAGAGTATTTAGGAGCCTCCTATATTTTTATAGCAAAGAGCAGATATCAGTTGAGAGAAACATGATCCCATATCCTCTGAAATGATGCTTCACATATGCTCTTCTTCAGCCTCCTCCTGCGCTGGATCTTTATTTTTCATTACTTTGTAGTTTTAAGGGGATCGGCACTATACAGTTACAGCAATTTGATTCCACTTTAGCTATCACAACTCCATCCTACAAGATCCTGGGATGTGTAGTTTGGGGAGAGAACTGGAATTCTCTGCTAGACTGCTATGGGATTGCATATAAGAGGAATGCACTGGACAGGGCATCAGTTCTCAATCTTTCATCCTTCGAGGTTTTTGGACCAGTTCCCAGAATGCCTGGCCATAAGCCAAGCTGACTGGGGCTTCTGGGAGTTAAAGTCCAATAATCTGGAGGAGCAAAACTGGAGAACCAGTGCAGCAGAATACTAAACTACAAGTCCCTAGCAGAGAATACTAAACTACAAGTCTCAGGATCCTGTGCAATGAAACCACGGCGGTTAAAGCTACATGGAATTGCTATAAATAACTCCTGATTCTCTGATTGCCTCTGAATCATCTAATTGCATCTTTCCTATCTCTTTGCATTTCAGGTGATGCAAATGGATGCAGTGAAATATAATTCCTGTTTGAAGGGCTCTGCTGTCAGAAAGTTGTGTGCATTATTTCATATTGAGCTAATTTCTTTTGACTTTTCCAAAAGAAGTTTGCAGGACCGTCCCTGAGAGTTTTCTTCAGCAGATGCTTACGAGTTGTACTACAGCTCCCATCATCCTCAGCCAATGATTGTGGGTTGTGGAAATTGTAGTCCAGAACATTTGAATGTCTGTAGTTCTTCCAGTCTCTCCTAGTCATGTTTTAAGTAATTAGTGTGCTTTCTAATAGTATAGCTGGTTTAATGATTTTTCTAAAAGTCTTTTTCTTATAATAATAGTGGTTTAGCTGTATTTTGTTGAAATCTGCATTTGGTGTTAAATAATATGTATGGGGTTTAAACCCACTGGGTGACCTTGGGTGAGTTACACTTTCTCAGCCCAGAAAACCCCATGGTAGCCTTGTTGTTGTTGTTGTTGTTGTTGTTGTTGTTCTGTGCCTTCAAGTCATTTCTAACTTACAGCAACCTTATCATGGGTTTTTCTTGGCATGTTTCTTCAGGGGGTCTGTGCCTTTGCTATCCTCTGAGGCTGAGAGAGTGTGACTTGCTCAGGGTCACACAGGGGGTTCCCATGGCTGAGCAGGCATTCGAACCCTGGTCCCCAGAGTCCTAATCCAGCCTTCAAACCACTACACCACACTGGCTGCAAAAGTAAATGTAACAATATCAATATCAACAATAATTATAAATTCCCAGAGGACTGGGTCTTGTCTCTTTTTTTAAGAGAGCAAAACTGAGGACAGGTGTTTGGGATTTTCCTCCTCTCTGCTTCTGACAGCCTTGGGTGACTCAGTTTTACTAGATCTCTTTCTTTAAAATGGACATAATAATATCCCCCAATGACGACTGTTGCAAGAAGCAACCAGGGAGATAATTATTAATGGGATGTAATGACTACTACTCAGGGAGATGTCATCCTAAGCCACAATGTAAAGCGTGGGAGAGCATTGCAGATAAAAAGAGAAGTCATCGGAAGTGGTTGTGATGCCAATATGTTACATAAGGACTGTGGCATTTACGTTTACCACTTATGTTTTGTTTGGTCTGATAGAGATATCATTGTTTTGTGGATTTTGGATGTTACTGGACTTTGCTATAAGGCCATAAATTGGTAGAGTTGGAAGAGACTCCAGGGGCCATCCAGTCCAACCCCATTCTGCCATGCAGGAACTCAACATCAAAGCATCCCTGACAGATGGCCATCCAGCCTCTGGTCAACATGGCTATCCCAGATATGTCTGTTTGGAGCAGTTTGGATCATCTGTAGGGTTGCTAGCTTAGGATCATCTCAGGCCCTGTCATTTTAGGGCCAAAAGCTGAGAGCCCCTTGTTGATATCATTACAGATGGTGCATGATGGATCAGCCACAGCTGGTTAGCAAATGTCATTCAAATAATAAACTCCAAGACTTACACTAATATGAAAAATAAATGAATAATTCTCCACCTGAAAATTCAGTTTCCCAAGTGAACAGAAGTGAAAAATCATACAGACATATAGTTTCCCCATCTCACTTTTTCTTCAAAAATCCATACCACCACCATGGCAAGCAGTACTTTTAAGGACACATGGGACTTGTTGTAGTCCAACCAAGAAAAGACACTGCTGCTTTGAAAAGTTAACAGTCTGCAGCAGACTCCAGATGAAAACTGGGAGACATGTGGCCAAACCAGACTGGAGAGGGCATATTACGGAATTGTTTTGCAGAATAAGCTGGGGCTCTTGAAGAAGTTTTAAAATTCTTATTATAATACAGAGACCTTGGTGTAGAATTGTTGGTTTTCTGGCTGAATGAAGGTGAGTGTCACCTGGGAAACCTCTCTGGCTCATTGGGAATTAATTCCATGGCAGGTTTCCCTTGCTTAAGTCAAGCCACTCTAACCACTGCAGAGTAATGTCCCTTTAATTATTGCTATTTGAATGCTCTCTCTCTCTCTCACACACACACAGAAGGTACAAAATATTAGGAAACAGATTTGTGCAAGCTGCTTCCTCTAGGCCAGGGGCCCAAACTATAGCCCGCGGGCCGCCCCCGGCCCATCAAGGCCTTCTTACCGGCCCGCGGCCGGTCCTGCCACTGCCACCACCGCTCGCGTGCACCGCCGGGCGCCATTTTGTCTTGCAAAATGGTGTCCAGAGTCGTGCGCATGTGTTTGGCGTTGTGTGCGCATGCGCATGACTCCGGGCGCCATTTTGGAAGACAAAATGGTGCACACATGCACACTACTCTGGTGCTGTTTTTGTCTTCCAAAACGGCGCCCGGATTCGTGCGCATGCATGCACGACACCGGGCACATGTGCACGACTCCGGGTGCCATTTTGGAAGACAAAATAGCACCCGAGTTGTGCGCATGCGCCTCCGGCCCCCGGGGGCCAGCGAACCAGCTCCCAGATCAAAAAGTGTGGGGACCCCTGCTCTATACTCTGTTTCAGGTTTAGGGGGCTTCTGCACTGTAGTTTGATACCACTTTAGCTGCCATGGCTGCATCCCACTGAATCCTGGGATCTGTAGTTTGGTGAGGCCCCAGCACTCTTTGGCAGAGGAGGCTAAAGACCTTCTAAAAACTACAGATCCCAGGATTCCATAGAATAATGACTGGTCCTATAGCCACAAGGTTGTGAGTTCAATCCTGCAGGGCTCCAAAGCTGACTCAGCCTTCCATCTGTCTGTAGGTCAGTAAAATGAGTCCCCAGCTTCTTGGGGGCAATTGGCTTACACAGTATAAACCGCATAGAAAGTGCTAAGTTCCCTATGAAGCGGTATAGATATGTAAATGTTATTGCTGTTGCTTTTTCTACAGTGTGGATGCAGCTTTTAGAATAAACATTTATCATAAAAAATAATGGCTGGAATCCCCTATGGCAGTTAGGATTGCATAACTTACTGTATGGACATGCATAAGTCCAGAAGATTTAGTAAAAAAATGATCCAAAAAATTCGGAGTCGACTGATCCATGGGTCAATGTAAGTACTGTGCTTAAACTCTTATTTAAAAAGCAACCATTCCCTAGGGAAAGTCAAGAGTGTAATCTCTTCTGGACGCACTGAGCTCCTCTACTCTCTCATCTAGCTGAGATTTAGGGTCAGCACAAACAGTTATGCCTGCTGGAATTGTTTAGGTTCTTTGGGATCATTTTCCTTTCCTTTGTCCTTTATATCCTTTGTTATGTACCCCTAAATTTTTACCCTCAATTTATCCACAAGTCATATCAAGATCCATGATTTTGGCCTCCAAACCTGCCCTCGACTTATACATGAGTTTGACCTATAGTTGAGTATATACTGCAACTTGTGACTGTATTCATGATCCCTACAAAGCCCTTAGTTTAGGTTTAGGGGCTAGGTAGAGACTGTAAAATTCCCCATTCCCCATGTATCAGGAAGCAGCTGCTGCAATCAATGAGGATCAAGATGATGATGATGATGATGATGATGATGGATGGCCATCTGTCAGGGGTGCTTTGATTGTGTATTCCTGCATGTCAAGGGGCTTGGAATTGATGGCCCTAGAGGTCTCTTTCAACTCATATTCTTTGATTCAAATAATAATAACAAATCCCAAGTTGGGTTTCAACTCAAGAGGCATTTTTTGGAACATCG